ATTACCGTATTGTAGAAGTATCTCCTTAAAGCTGAACGTTGAACACGATACGCTATTGTTTTAGAGGCAACATGTTTGCTGTCGTTCTGAAAATCATTATAAATGGCTTATAAAATGGAGAGCATGTTTTTCAAAGCTCGAGAATGACTTCTGCACGCGCTGTCATTATCAAATGCAAGTGAAAAACTTTTGCCGGGGAAAGAGCCCACTTTGGTCGTACTACTGAAACGTCCGTTTGCTCTGCTATGGATGGGAATGGATAATTAGAACATTCCGGCGTCCACTTTGCAATAAGAGCCCCGTGATTGAGTGGTGACGAATCTCGGTTCTGAATGGAAGTAAATGAGTGCTCCTAAGTCTTTGGATGTACAAAAGGAGCTCCAGAAAAGCTGTTCAGTTGGTTTTATTGCGGTCAGAGAATGCACAGGTCAAAAATGTGGCCCTTACTATCCTTTTAAATCGATTGTTATTCATCTCCCACGACCTCAGATTTTTTATCCCCCCCCCCCCCACACCACATTTCACAATGTCATGCAAACTCAAATTACAGACTCACCCTTGCAAAAAGGATGCTAATTTATGTCGTGTAATTCATCTGCTGGGTAATAATCCATGTCTGTCCACAGTTTGATTATGTCTGCTTTTCACAATATCCATGACTTGATCAATGACCGGCACACATCACCTTGAGCAAACGTCCATGAAGTTGTGGCTGATCCAAAACAGCTCAAATCCCCAAAGTGATTGCAAGGCCCGACCATACTCTTAATCAGTCCATTCTTTCAGGAATCAAACAATTAGTCGCAGCAGTTTTTCTCATATTTGTGTCCGGGGGCAGGTAGAAGCTTTAATGAACATGGCATTCTCCACATCAGGCTGACTAATTACTTCAGCATGCCACAGGAGTCGTATTTCCTCATCAAATGGCAAATTATTTTCATGACCTTCTTGTATTTGATTTCGTGGTTGGAGGTTCGCTTTTTGGGCCAACCAACCTGCCAAGGTGAAAGAAACCTGGAGTCCGTCAAATGGGAGGCGGAGCCAAGCGAGAAAAATCTCCACTTGTCCATCTCCTGCCGGTCCCTGATTTTTCAAAGCAGAGGCATGAATGAAAATATGAAATGTGAGCTTCGGTCGCATGAAATGGCCCTTTTCATTTTTCAATGGAAAGCGTTGACTGAAAGCTCACCCTTCAATATGTAGGTGGGATTCCATTCGCAAAAGATAAGAGGTAGGGAACAAAAAAAGGTTTTTCAGGGAGACATCCACAGGGCCACGCTGAGGTCCCGATGCACAGGAAAACAAGCAGGCCTGCATGTTTGGACTTTTGGCAGTCTCCACTGGCGCTGACTAACAAAAGAACCACAGGATGCAGCGACGTCCAGTTTGTGGCCTTTTCTGCTACGAGTCCGGGACGGGATCCTGTCAACATCTGTCTGTCAAATTGCTCTTACAATCTTGTTTTCTCTCTCGTGTTTTCCCCGGTTCAAAAAGGTTCACGGCTTCTGCTCAGGTTTGTCTGAACACGGTTGAATGCATCCCGGAGAAACTGAAGGACACATCGATGGGGCACAAAAGCCTTGGAGGCTATTGACAGTATCACACAGGAAGCTCAGCGCCACAGGATTTCAAATGATATGTTCAGACTTCCTTAGGTATCCACATCACAACAGCAGATATAGTAAAACCCCAAACCTTCAGAAATCTTTCTTTCAAACCCTTTATTTTATGCTGCTGCTTCTGCCCTCTTGAACTCGCAAAAGATTGATGATGATCCGATCCCGGCATATACAAATAAAGAATTAGGCCAAACATGGCTCCAAAGGTAGCAAAAATACACAGGAGATAGTAATGGCACGGGCTCAAACCACCAATGTGCGGCACAAGCTCGCCACTGTATACATTCAGCTCTCCTTGTCATGATTACTTTGTTTAGCTCTTGAAAACCGCTGCGCCTTCTGCGTCCTAAACAAACGTGCCCTATTTTGCCAATGAGCCTCAAGTTGTGGCCGAGTGTTAGAATCAAGAGTTTCGTGTCACCATCAACAAAGGAAAACGACACTTGACATCACTGCAATCTTCTTCCCTGGCCAATGTGTTCCTTTTTCAGAAAAAAATGGCTCGCAACTTGACGCTAAACCATGACCAGTAAAATGTGCCACTTTAGAGTCATCAGCAACATATGGATGACAGTAACAAAAACTTCTTTTTTTTTCCATTCTGAGGTTTATTCAATGCTTTGACCAAGTAAAAAAAAAAAAGAAATTTTACAGGAAATAAAACAATACAATGAGATATACATTTGGTCATTGGATTGAAAATCCAGTCTCTATCAAATAGACAAAAGGAGAAATGAATTCATATAACTTAACAGTAAAAAAAAAATGGTCACAAATTTCTTCATGTTTACAAAGTCAGTAATAATAATTTATAGGCTTTATATACTGTTGTTGCCTTCCATTTCTCGTGGGACGCAGCCAAGAGAAAGGCATGTACAGCACCGACGTTTTAGCAGTAGAAACCCTTCTGTGTGTGTCACTTTTGAGGATGGACTGTGGGTGGAATTGAACACAGAAACAAACACTTCACTGGAAAAGAGGCCCCCTCCCCTGTACAATCTCCACCCAGAGAGTGGGTATCATGTGAGGTGTGAGGGTTGCGATTAGAAACACAAGGAGCAGCCCCAAACTGCTACCCTGCAGCTACCCTGTCTGGGTCAGGTGTATAAAAAACACATGTGGCCCCCACTGTGTAAATAGTGCCTTGGGGTTAGCTAGTGTGATTCATTTCAACATCCATCAGCATGTGAAGATGAAAAATATTGGGTTCTTTTTTTTTTTTTTTTTTTTTGGACTTTGTGTAAAAAGGCACGTTCCCAATAAAGGCTTTCGATTAAATGACAAGACGTGTCCATAAGTGCATGATTTTAACTGTTTGCACATTCATGTAGAAAGGTCAAAAAGTTACTTTGTGCAGCATCGCTCCCTCGCCTAAATCCTTGACCATAATCACAGTCTGGGTTGTCAAAACACAACAAAACAAAACTGCACAATTTACAAAGGAATGTACATTTTGACACGATGGAGTATTAAGGCCACGCCGAAAAAGATAACCCGAGTCGGATTTTTGGGGGGAGGATAAAGACCTCAACGTTACAATCGTAGCGACCGGATATCCTTTGAAGTTTCATAAATAGCCGCGATTGACTGACAGCTATTTGAGAAGTGCACCCCGCCCTCCTGCTCAAATTCAGCTGAGACACTAATAAGGACAAGTGGTTTTCAAAAAATGGATAAAAAAATGAACACCGTCATCAGTCTGAGCGGTTTCATGTAAATGAACAAAATGTTTGGGTTCGTATTCATACTTGCATGCGGCAGGTCTGGAGAGATAAACTGTGGCTGTTGCGCTCAGATTCGACTTGACTCATCATATATTCTCTTTGTTTTCATCGCGGCTCAGATACTCCATCATGACACCCATACACAGTACCCTGAAGAAAAAGAAGAAAGTCAGATTGATCATCTCCACTTTGTCAAACTTGGATTGGCGAGCAGGTTGGTACTTTCTATGAAAAGTGCCTCTTTTCGTCAAATGCCAAAGAAGCCCTTCTTAATGTAGTAGGCTGACGTAAAATCACGTACAGAAGCCTGATCAAAAACAGACTGTCACAACCACACGTGTACAGATTAGCAATAACAAAAAACATTTAAGATGAGATACTACTGCAATGCACGTACGTAAAGACAAACAAAAAAGAAACAGAAGGGGTAAAAAGTCAAATGTTTAAACTTGTCCTCCGGCTTCTTGTAAACAGCAATTTTGAATGTAATGTTGAACAGCTGAGGATGAAGCAGGGTTGGTGGGAGTTGTCGTGTTTTCTTTTTTTTCACCCCTCATATCTTATTCGTGAGCACAAAACAAAAAGAAAAGGAGAAAAACCAATGCCATTCTGATAATGACCCCAGAAAAAAAAAAATCCCTTTACAGATCAGGGGTTCCGTCCGTTTGTACCGTGTGCATATTATTTGTGTCACCGCACGTGTGAGCCTCGCTTGATTTGGGTCCAGCTTATGCATGTTATGTTCCGATAAGAGGGAGCGTCGTCACTAATAAAACACAATCCAAGGATGAGACGCGTCCCTTAGTTCCTTATCGACGCGCTGCTCACGTTAGCGCCGCGTATCTGCGTACCTAAGTGTCGTTGTTGGGCTGCCGGCACCGACAAAACATGCTTCAGTTTACAGTCAAACGGAGGACATCAGTCAAAATACACAGGACACCTTCAAGAAATGACTCGGGCTTATTTTGTAACAGAGTGTTAACCGCACGATATGTGTGTCTGTCTGCATGCGTGTTTGTGTGCGAGTGTGCGTGCATATCACCCCGCCCTCCTGCTCAAATTCAGCTGAGACACTAATAAGGACAAGTGGTTTTCAAAAAATGGATAAAAAAATGAACACCGTCATCAGTCTGAGCGGTTTCATGTAAATGAACAAAATGTTTGGGTTCGTATTCATACTTGCATGCGGCAGGTCTGGAGAGATAAACTGTGGCTGGTGCGGTCAGAATTGACTTTACCTCTCATATATTAAAAAAAAAAATCCCTTTACAGATCAGGGGTTCCGTCCGTTTGTACCGTGTGCATATTATTTGTGTCACCGCACGTGTGAGCCTCGCTTGATTTGGGTCCAGCTTATGCATGTTATGTTCCGATAAGAGGGAGCGTCGTCACTAATAAAACACAATCCAAGGATGAGACGCGTCCCTTAGTTCCTTATCGACGCGCTGCTCACGTTAGCGCCGCGTATCTGCGTACCTAAGTGTCGTTGTTGGGCTGCCGGCACCGACAAAACATGCTTCAGTTTACAGTCAAACGGAGGACATCAGTCAAAATACACAGGACACCTTCAAGAAATGACTCGGGCTTATTTTGTAACAGAGTGTTAACCGCACGATATGTGTGTCTGTCTGCATGCGTGTTTGTGTGCGAGTGTGCGTGCATATCATGATTGATGACCTCATTTGGTCTTTCAAGGCACACACTTCCACTTCCTGTATCACGACAGTGACTCCAAACATCGGTCAAATAATCCTTCACAAATTCCAGAGAGGCACGACTCGCATCTGTGCTTTGCATTTACAAGAGCAAAAGTCACTTTGGCAAAATACACATTGAGCATCAAAAATAGGAGGGAAAAGTCATTCCGAAAAATAAGTTAATTTTACAAAACAAAAGTGTCTGGCTATAGGAAATACTGCAGTACAACTTGCCGACACTTTTGCATGTCGGCACGGAACAAGTCCCACTGAAGACACTTTGAAACCAACAAAATATTTCGTCGTCCTTCCAAATAGTCCTCTTATGAATGCTTTGCCAAAACGGGAACGTTTGCATAGAATGAGGAGGCTCGCCTTGGAGCTAATAACGGCGCACAAGTGGCACTTTAACAGTCTTGATCTCTGCTATATGGGAAGACTTTTGGATGATGCAGCTGGTGGTCCCGGGGGCACTGTCCTTCCCCTGCGCCAAGTTGGTCAAGGCCATGGCGGCATTGATCTCCTTCCAGTACGTCTCATCTTTGCCCTTCACCTTCTCCTGGTGTTCAGCTCTGACGCCACCGCTGATGACACGCAAACGTGGGCCATGAAGGAAACAAAAACAGTGAGCGGAGAGAGATTAAGATGTGGTCAACGTTCGTGATGCCGTTTTCCTTCTCGGTGCGAGTTGAAATCATTCGGGGCGGGGGCGGGTGTCGTACCCAAAAGACAACATTAGCGTTTAGCATCTTTTTTACACCCTTTCCACCCCCCGGCAAAATGAATCGGTAAGACAAAGGACGGTGAACTCACTTGTCATATTTACTCGATCCGTGCTCTGCGGTTTCTGAAAGAGGAAATAAAATGACTTAAATTCAAGTGATTTATTGTGCGGTGGGTTTCTAGGTATCAGTTTGTGCTTTCTGGATAAGAATATTTCCGAAAAAGCCAGCAGGAAAGAAAGTGGCTAATAGGATCGAGACTCGTGACTCATGGACTCCATTCTGTAATATTTAGTTCAAAAACAATTCGGCCCCCGCCAATGTAATTGTGAGGAAATCATTTAGCAAATGACTGAGCGTGAAAGACGTTGCAACATGAGTCAGTGAGCACTCTCTCTTTTTTTTTTTTTTCCCTCCTAAAATGGAAGCAATCATTATCTCATATGTAAATCATTAGCAGGCAATAACATCGTCATTAGACGATCTAACCAACTTTCTCTTCAGGGCAACCGGCCTGTTTACTTCAAGATGTTGTTGAATAGGAGAGGAACACCAAAAGCATGTCAGTGTGTGTTCCGTGTTGAGTGACGAGCTCGAGACTCGAACTGTGTTTTGCTTGCAGTGAGTATGATGACACACTTTTGGCTTGGCGGAGGCATTGAAAGAGAGAGCCGAGCATCTGGATATCTTCGCCAGTCGCTTTCTTTAAGCTACCCAAACACACAGCTAAAGCCCTGGGAGACTTTAAGTAGCTCAGTCTTGACTAGGTACGGAGGATTTACAGACACAAAAACATTTGAAAGAGAGCCAGCTATATTTTTAGTCCAAAAAAATAAATAATACCGGTACTTGTGTTTTTCTTTCTCTGAGCATTGAAATACATTAGCAATTGCCAGTCTCATTTACTTTCGGCGCCGTTGTTTCAAACGAGAGAAAAGGCTTATAAGCGATGGTCCATATGCCTGTTTTCTGTATCGCTTGTCATTTGGGTCATGGTGAGCTGGACCCAAGCCCTGCTGACTCGGGTTGATTCTCGAGCAGCCAATCACAAGGCATGTTTTGGGGGAATGGAAATGTGGATGGGGAAATGTGCAAACTCCACAAAGGATGGCCGCAGGTTTTCTGTGGTAAGTTCAGATCGTGAACTCGGAAATGTGGTCGAAGGAGCTCACCACGAGGTTGAAGCCATCCCTTCCATGGGAGTTGACCTCCCAACCGAGAGTCATCACATTGGGTTCAACTTTCGAATTGTCTTCTCGTATAAGGTGCTCTGACGAGGCGATGGTACAAGTTCATAAAAACAAAGAAACTGAGAGGTTTCTTGATTTTATCATGGTTGATAATGATCATCTGAAAAAAGAAAATTTTTGATGTCTGCACTGTATTTTTTTTTTTTTTTTCATTCTGTTGAAAAATTCTGTTCATGATATGGTACAATAGTCCTCGGACATTTTCTTGCTTCAGTGTTTGAGGTACGGTGACCCTTCCTCAAGGATGCAAATAGTCGAACAACATTTCAGTCAATCTCCATGAAGAACAAAGTTGCTTATGGAACTAAACAAAGGGTGAGACACAAATTTTGGCAATCGAGTCAAGATGGAGCAGGAATAAAAAATCATCGTACATCATGCAGCGCGAAGCAGAAAGCGGTCAACAACAAAAAAGTTTGTTCTGTTCTTGCATTGCAGCATTAAGTGTTCCAAGTGCTTCTCTGTGTTCTGCTTATTGCACATTGACACACAGTGAAGGCGTTGCTTTGACAAGGAGGGTGAATGTGTGCCTGATTAGAACATTTCCTTTCCGTTGCATATTCCGTAGAGAGAAATACCACTTCACAGTATAATTCTCAAATCGCTGGCGGACAGAAGACGAGGGGAACGTCGGCACAAGTGTAGAAACCACAAACTCAAAGTCCCTCAAAGCATTCCAATGAAATCCCCTGGCTTACCCCCCCGATGTCCTATCAGTGGTCAGTCTTGATTTGGCTTGATCACAGAGGCATTTTCTTTGATTGACATTGTTCACTTGTCTGTGCTCTACTTGTTCACCTCTGCAAGGAAGTGTTGTAACAAGCCTGGATCCAGGTACTGGACAAGGCCCATTTCGGTAGCTGCCAGCCAAAATAAATGCAAGACTTCCTGTCAATGTTTGGCGTTATGCTCTGTCGAGAATCAGCACTTCTTCTACCATTCCAAAATATTTTTATGAAAACTTTTAACGCATACAAGCTCTTCTTCAACTTCTGTTTTTTTTTTTCCCCCTCTCTCATTCTTTGGAGTTGTATAGCTTGAAACGAGTGACTACACGGCCAATACTTGAAGAGAGTAAATGCATCCTGTTCATTCCATTTCCATCTGTTCTCTCTGCCTGACTGTGGATTGGCAACATTCACCATCATCACAGTGGTGTAATGATAGGGCCGATGTTCAGATGATGTTTATATTCCCCCATGATATATTAGCTCAGTGTTTGGATACTCGTTGGCAGCGAGTTGCTCGACTTCAGCGACATGAAAGCCGGGCAACATGTGGGGCCAAAGTGTGGGCAGACGGTCGCCCGGGTGTGTGTCTTTCCATCCACCTTTGAAAGTGTTTTAAGTATGTGTGAGGCAGCGATCCACTAAGAACATCCAGCATGACAGACCCAGACGGTTTTATGATTCGGAATAGCCACTTTTGGTCGAGCCGCTTTTTTGTACAGACAAAACCAAGCGAGAGAACAGATAGGGCAAGTTTGCTCATCCCATGGACTATCTCCAACGGCCAAACTACCAGTATTAGCAGTCGGCAAAACAGAGCAGTATTTGTTGGTCGGTCTATTTAATTTTGCCAGCAAGATCGAGTACACGGGCCCGTGGAGCCTTATCAGCCCGATGCAGAAGAAGATCTCATGTGCCCCAAATTATTAGTCTTCTCATCGTGTCTTACAGCAGGTACACCCACAAGGGGAGATGACGTAACTTAAACGACGTCTTTATTTTTCCTATGTGTGACTCCACGGTCTGAACTGGCTTCACCTGGTCTGTCGAAGTGCGCCGAATGGTGCTATAGAAGTCGAAAATCCAAAGTCCAAAGAAGCCTAAAATCTAACACTGGATGTTGAAAAGAGAAAATCTAAAATATTTGCATTCTCCTCTGGATACGCGCATCAATGTAAAGAGCACTTCCTTATAGCTTTGTGGAAATCAGCTTTGGGTAACGCTGCTAACTTAACAATCAACCAGCCAAATGCAAACGTGACAGTGATCCACACAGTTATTTTTGTTGCACAGTGCTTGGCAGAAGTCCTAAGAAGTGACCTGTAGCCTGCTTATTCCTGTGGTACAGCGGGCCACCTGTCTTCACTTTTGGTATCCCACAACCATTGGATCCGATACCACTGTTCTCCCCCTAAAAAAAAACTGTTTCCAAAGCTAAGTGCCTAAAACATCTAAAAGTCACATCTTATAAAACAAAAGCTATGCCAAAGAGAATACAAATCTCCACTGAATGACTAACAACTGTTATCTTTTTCATTCTCTTTCCTGTTTTTTTTTTTTTTCTTGCTTCCCTGCTTTGCTGCTGAAGACTGGAGTAGACGTTGTCGCTGTTGCCTTTGGGCTCCATTGTCAGTGGGGTTTCACGCAACACCGAAGGGGAAAACTAAGAAGTCTGATGGTTTCTGGCATGGGGCTGCAAGTCCAAAAATACGAGCTCACTTAACATCCCTGCGGGGTGATGGTGGGAGGGCGTAAAGAGGGCAAAAAAGGAAAAAAAAAACAAAAAACAAAAAACACGAAACCTCGCGAAAATGAGAGGAAAATAAACCGGGGCTGACAAATTAAAGAGAGGATGAGGTTACACCTGTTCGGATGAGTGCGGCCCAAAATCATCATTCCCATGTGGTGCTGTTGTTAGCAACATACAACAATAAACAAGCCCGATGCGCTGTCGTGCAAACCGTGGGAAGGTCCGCATAGCGACCACAAACAAACGCACACTTTTATATTGACAATGTGTGGCGAGCCTCGGGCAGGGTCGGGAGCTCATCCTGCCTCAGTGTCAAGTCTCTAAATTTTACATGCTGCCTAAAAAGTAAAGCGTAAGTGTCCGAAGACACCTTAATAGGTGTTGCTGTTAGCTTTGTTATAATTACGGTTGGCCTTCTTCAAGCCTCGACTGATTTGATTTGATAATTATTATTATAATATATTATATTATACATAAATACATTCGAGAGGAGTGGCTAACTACGACAAGGTGTTCGGCAATGGTGTATTGATAGATGTAAAGAAAAAATGAAATCTTTCCGACAAGTTAACAAAAACCAAGATTTTTCTTGTCGTGAAAACGCACCAAATTCCAGGCTGGACGTCGAGAAGGGAGGAAATGAGGTGAACAGATTTCCACTGAAACAGCTCATCGGCATTCTGCTCGACGCTAACCTGCAACTGTAGGTCAAGACTTGAACAGATCACTGTGTAATTATAAAGTCCCTTGGATGTCTCAGGCAGCCGAAATATGAGTCAGGGGTTACTGTCATCATAGGCCGTTGGATGGAAAACATATTAACCACTTTTACCGCCTTTGCCATGACGCAACTTTTACCGACGTCCCGTTCAAATTGCTGGATGGGCAGATGTGAAATGCTTGGACGCAGGTTTGAACTTCAAATCAAAGAGGAAGGGGACGGGCCGCCGCGCGAGATCTAACGACATCTCCTGATGTGGTTTCTGATTTGAAACCAAGCCACGGCCTTGATTAGGAGGCGCGACACCGAGGGACCCGCTGATGCCTTTGGGCTTGTTCGGTTTCACGTTTTCCTTAATGATCTGTATGTTTAACAATGTCAAGAGCGGTCTGTCGCCTGCACTCCGCCAACTCCGCTTTATTATTTGTCCTTGCGGCCATTTCTGTCCAACGCGCACTTATGCTGCCCATGTGAATCAGTCACTTGCGCTCATCGAGCCAAAGACTCGAAACAAGGTGCAAATCAAGTGACAAGTCGGCAGGCCTACGCCGTCTGACCGGTACCGAGACAGTGCTCGGAAATGACTCCGTCACGCACTTCACGGCTTTGTTGCCGTGAGCGTCTGGCAGATGTCACACTGCCGGCTGTCAACAGAAGTGAGGAACTCGTCTGAGCA